TATTAAAAAAAATATAACACAGTCGGTCTGAAACTTTTCGGGTTATGGCTTTGCAATGTGGGCTGTGCTTAGACCTTACATTTTGCTTTCCATTATGTGCTGAAGATAACAAACCGCGGTTACATAGACCCTAAAGGTATCGGGCACATATATGTATATATGTATATATGTATACATGTTTATATCTATTTTCGCTTGAGTATTTTTGGAGTTTCACATCCGATGTATAGTTGATGAAGTTTTAACATTGCGACCGTTTTCGATCAAACAAACAGATGCAATCATGTATGTACACATCTAGATTAAGCCAACGATAGATTAAGAAAGTGATTCCCAGGTCTTTGTCGAATGTGTTTCGCAAGAATGGCGACTTGGGTGGAAGCAGTTCACGAGCAAGCGGAACGCAAACCGTGTGTGGAAGCTTGCATCGACTTTGCTTACTTCTGGAAAGGCTCAGACAACACATGCCGCGCGAAAGGCGAAATCATATGTTCAACATGCTCCGACGGTTGCCGCCATAAGCTGCGAGATCTCGAAGTAGCAGCCGCCTGGCATGTGACAGGAGTTAACATAGCACTTGGCATCCTGCATTCAGTGTCGGCCATGGCAGAGGCGTCCAAGGGAAAGGTTTCGAGCGTCGGACTTGAGGTCGCAAGCTCTCTTTACAAGTGCACGTGCTGGAGCAGGCGATGTTGCCACCAGCGCCTGCGGCCCCCAATCCACAGTCCCGTCCTCGGAAAGAAAGAATGCAGACAGTCTCCTGCATGTGGCACTCATAAATGCATGTCGTGCGCACAGGTCACCTCGGGTTCGGGCGGCGATGCGAGTGATGGGCATCATCCCCACCGAACTAGACAAGAAGGTTGCGCGATACTGCAAGAGGCGATGAGCGGATGCAATTATGCGTTTGCCTCAGCAGGAGGAGGTAGATTATGACGGCAACCAGGTGCGTCAGGTTTCCATCGGATGCTGCAAATTGATTCGCGCTTTTACTTGCAGAACAAACACCTGCTGTTTGAGAAGAAGCGGCGCACATTGATCGGGCATGTTGAGTCCTGAGAATATCTTCCTCCTGTGAGGCTTTGTAAGCAATGCTTTGCAAGGTGTCGATGCTGGCGGCAAGAGGACCACAGGCACGCCAAGGTTCAACACCGAAACAGAAGTGTGAGCCTGAACTCCTCAGGGTGGCGACGGCCACGAACTTGGAAGGTCGGCAGGCGCTAGCTCTCACGCAGTCTGCATCCACCTGAGTTGTGGTTTCCGTTTTGGGTGGAGGTGATTTGAACGCTTCTTTTCTGGAGGAAGCCTGGCCCTGGAAACTGTGCACTTTCAGAATGTCGTGTGCGGAAGTGCCTGACCTGAAATCAGAGGTCTTGCGCAAGGAGAAAGAGAGCATGGAGGTCATGGCACGAATGGCGAAGGCTCAGTCCGTTGTTCGGGAGCGTCCGCCAATGAAAAGCCCCCTGCCAGAAAGACATTCAGAAGACCGTCATAAAGGAGATCCGCCGTTTTCTTCTTTCATGTTTGATATTTTCTTCCCTGTGGGAGACCACCGCTTTGAGGAGCTCGAGAGTCGACTGGAGTTCGAAAAGGGGAAAAAGAAGCAGGAGGCGCACGCACACGCGCACGCACGCGCGCACGCACACGCAC